CTCCTCATCCTCCACTTCTTACATGTACTCTTCCTCCTCTCCTTCTCAGATTGTTTCCATCTATTGTTCGTATCATCATTCAGTCACCAGTGCCACTTGTGCACTCTGAACTGGCTCATATTTTGTACAGTTGGTTTGATCACATCATTAGAAACAAGTGTGAACAATTTTGAATCGTTGTGTTAAAACGATGACAACTGTGCTTTAGTTGTGTTTAACTTTTGCCGCTTGTGTTTAGCATTTTGCAGCACAAATGCATCACAGTGTGATAAGTGTTTAAGTGAATGAGAATTTGTTTAGAGTTTTGCAAAAAGAGTGCATGAGATTTGCAAATTGAGCCTAACTGCCTGAACGTGTTTAAGGTTTAGCAGAAAGAGTGCTTTATTCGACAAATTGGTTTAAGCTAGTGATAATTTGGTTCAGAGATTGGGGTTTAGTGTTTTAGCAATTCAGAAAAACTGTAAAATAATTCACCTCTCAGGACCCATTATTAAGCTCTTTTCCATCTTACTGCTTTTTCAGATACAGCTATATGATTGACAACGTCATACTGTTGATCACTGGAACTCTTCATCAGCGGGCCATTTCAGAGCTGGTGCCCAAGTGCCATCCGCTTGGCAGCTTCGAACAGATGGAGGCCGTTAACATCGCCCAAACTCCAGCAGAGCTCTATAATGCCATCCTGGTGGATACACCTCTTGGTAAGACAGTCTGATATGAAAAATTCACACATGATTGACATTCACTGCATGTTTTGTAGCCAAAGAAAATCAGTGAGTTGTCAGTATTTTTTTAAGCATTCAGAAATTTTGTGAAACGACTCAAAAACATGTTCTAAATAATACCAAGGTGCTTATTTCTACATCACAGTTAATGGCTGTGTCTGTTTGTTTCAGCTGCTTTCTTTCAGGACTGCATCTCTGAGCAGGATTTGGATGAGATGAACATTGAAATAATTCGCAACACTCTTTACAAGGTCAGCCTTGTGATGGAAGATACTGGGATGTAAATCTTAAACATTCATTAGGAATTTTCCTATGACATGACAAGTATGCATAAGCACAGAAACCTGCTGGTTTGTCTATGTGTGGGTAGTGAACTTTAACACTGTAAGTAGGGGGGAAGTCTATAGTGCTGTTGACAAGGGAAAAACTATACAGCTCATTAAACACTTTTCTTTCAAGATTCAAGATTTTTATTCATCACATACAGTTATTTACACAATATGACGTGCTGTGAAATGTAAACCTGGTCAGCTTATTTCATTTGCATTAAATATGAATAGTAGATAAAAATGCTAAGATAAGATGAACATAAGAAATAATAATAGAAAAAAGTAATAATAATAACAACAAAAAATAGCAATAAGGTAAGTTGGATTAGAAAATGCTAGGCATGTTACCTGCACAATATACAATGTCAGTATTACATCAGTTATCATTATATCAGTATATCCGTTATTCTATAAATAATTCTTTATTTATAAAGGCCTATAACTAAGAAATCATGAGCTGTAGTTGATCTCCACTCTGTGTCTCCAGGCTTATCTAGAAGCTTTCTACAAGTTCTGCACTTCACTGGGTGGCACAACCGCAGATACCATGTGCCCAATTCTGGAGGTGAGTAAACACCCGTGAAATCAAGTATAGGGACCTTTATTCTGAAATAGGATTTTATTTTTTTTGTTATTATCGTAACTGATATATTTCAGTGTTTTAAGAATTAAAGCAAAGATTTGCTTTTGTATCAGTTTGAGGCAGACCGAAGAGCTTTCATCATTACCATTAACTCCTTTGGTACGGAGCTCTCCAAAGAAGACAGAGCTAAACTCTTCCCTCACTGTGGCAAGCTCTACCCAGAGGGTCTTGCACAGCTAGCCCGCGCAGATGATTACGAGCAGGTCAAAGCTGTGGCTGAATACTACCCTGTAAGTATCTGTGTAGATTAGTTTAAACTAACATTTCATCATGACAGCATGATTCCATTAAATAACAGAATGTTAATTTTGAGTGAACTGTTCCTTTAGTTGTTTTGATGTGAAGTTCACATAGTGTTTGTTTCTGGCATTTTTGGCCACCAAAATGATTTGAGGATTAACATGAGTTCATGCTGCTTCAGGAATACAAGCTTCTCTTTGAGGGTGCTGGTAGCAACCCAGGAGACAAAACCCTTGAGGATCGCTTTTTTGAACATGAGGTGAGCAAAAGTTTTGACATGGTGAAAGAGAGAGAATGTTACTGCATTGAAAATCATAATTCAGTGATGTTTTTGATGTTAGCAAATGGCTCTGTTTGAAAGCTCTCTGCTAACAATAAAATGCGGGTTATGTTTTTGCAGGTGAAACTCAATAAGCTGGCCTTCCTGAATCAGTTTCATTTCAGCGTGTTCTATGCCTACGTTAAGTTGAAGGAACAAGAGTGCCGAAACATTGTGTGGATTGCCGAGTGTATTGCCCAAAGGCATCGGGCTAAGATTGACAACTACATCCCCATTTTCTAATGGTACATAATATCAGTCTTGAATAATGATCCACATTACATGTATTAACTGTGCTCTGTTATGTTAAGGTTTGAAAATGTTGATCCTGTCTCCTTTGTTTCTTGCACTACCCCACTCTTACCTTTCATTGTGATTGTCTTTATTAGAGTTAAGGATCATTCGTTTTTGTTTGACAGATAAAACAGTGCAGTTGCATTCCCCCTCCACCCTTAGGATTTTTTAAAGAAAAGTTTTAGTAAAGTAATAAATGTTCTTTTTCTTCATGATGTCATGACTGAAACCATGTCACCTGGCAACCAGTCACAGCCCATTGCAAGTGAAGGATCCAGGGAATTACAGGAAAACAGGAAAGTTTAAGTGAAATGCAAAACTCAAGACATCTAATTGTCATACTCTTCCTGCTAAGAAAATATACATTCCATTATTATCATTTATGCATTGCATACTTTTTCAATTATTGTACATTTTCAGATTATAAACTCTCTGAACTCATGATCTCCCAGTATCTACATCTGATGAGTGTTAGAGAATCACTGGTAATTTAGACAGTGAGCCAAGCAGAATGAATTTCCACGTAAATCGTTTTGTGTAAATTGTATTCAATTGAACTGCATGGTTACATAAGAATGGATTTATGATCGATTTACAGAGTAATTGTTTTGCTTGTGTTATACTAAAAAGGAACAATGGGATTATCCTTAATAAAAAAAAGAGAATTGCTGGGAATTAACAAGGAACCTTTTTTTTAGGATTTTTTAAAGAAAAGTTTTAGTAAAGTAATAAATGTTCTTTTTCTTCATGACGTCATGACTGTGAAACCATGTCACCTGGCAACCAGTCACAGCCCATTGCAAGTGAAGGATCCAGGGAATTACAGGAAAACAGGAAAGTTTAAGTGAAATGCAAAACTCAAGACATCTAATTGTCATACTCTTCCTGCTAAGAAAATATACATTCCATTATTATCATTTATGCATTGCATACTTTTTCAATTATTGTACATTTTCAGATTATAAACTCTCTGAACTCATGATCTCCCAGTATCTACATCTGATGAGTGTTAGAGAATCACTGGTAATTTAGACAGTGAGCCAAGCAGAATGAATTTCCACGTAAATCGTTTTGTGTAAATTGTATTCAATTGAACTGCATGGTTACATAAGAATGGATTTATGATCGATTTACAGAGTAATTGTTTTGCTTGTGTTATACTAAAAAGGAACAATGGGATTATCCTTAATAAAAAAAAGAGAATTGCTGGGAATTAACAAGGAACCTTTTTTTTCTTTTCTTTTGTGTGTATAGATTCTTCACTATGTCTTGTTTGTTAAAATGAGAATTGTGTGCTTTCCATTTGTAAATTAGTGCTAAAATTTGTGCTGACAATTTATGGAGTAGATCATATTTTATGATTGACAGCTGAATTAGTGAGGTCAAATGGATCTAATATTGAGAAAGACCTTGCTCTCAGCTAAATCTATTGTACTATTGTAACCATGTTGTCTGTATTTTAAGTGAACTAAATGAAATCTATATGTATACTCTATATAAAAAGTAATTCTGTGTTTGTATTTTTTTTTAATTCTGTCTTTCAGAGAAAAAAAGAGACAAAAACAGCCACTATTGCAAGTTGTCAGCTACAATAGTATTAATAGTACTGTAGTTGCTTTATTCACCACAAGATGGTGCAAAGAGCCCAATCGTCCTTCATCAATGTATGCAGTTTGCCTTGGACTTGACATTTTGGCTACAGCATGAACTTCAGAATTTTAATTTGCATTTTACTACAGACAGACATTCAGCTGAACAAAAAGTATTTACTGTACCTTCTGACACAGATGTAAGATATGCATTATAATCATAATTAGTCTATGGCTTTGTGCTATTGTGCTGAGATGTTTAAGCATATGATGTGCTAGTTGACAGGAAGATTAGAGTCTGCCAAAACCCACGCTAGGCCTCGGGCTAATGATGCCATGCTTGCATTAACTCTGTGTTACTCCCTGTACTCTGCCAAAAGCTAATCTGTATCTAAACATGTGAAAGCCGTGCCAGCCACTTACTGACAGAGCTTTGTCAGTCCTTTGTAAATACCTGACTTGGTTTGAACATTCAGTTGAATGGCTGGTTATCTGTGTTTCAAATCCATGGATAAGAAATGGGCTTAGTGATGTTCTAAACACCCACGCAGTACACAGAGTTTTGTATTTCTGTTTGGATGAACATCACTTTTTTTTTAGGGGGGCTTTGGATCACTCCCTGATGACCCCATCCTCACTCTTTCTACGTGCTAAAACATTTAAGATTCAGGCCTCATTAAAAATGCTTAATTACTGCAAACAATCGCAGCCTTTTACTTCTGCAGTGCTCTGGGCCTTTTGCAGATCAGAAGACAGAAAAGGGCTTGGACTCTAGCGATCTTTGTGAATGCAAATTATCTTAGCAGCCATCTCACTGCAGCCAAAAGAAGAGCCCAATGAGGTTAAACAGAGTTTATACTCTTACTGCCGCACAGGTCATGGTAGTACTCTTGGAAAATGCATAAAATTCAGATGCGTCCAGCTGTTTTCTTTAATTCAGTATATAAATATGCAAGGTTGTTATGACCTATGTTTAAATATTACTGTTGACTTCATCATAATGCTATAGTACTGATTGCGGTATTCCTCTTTTTCATCAGAATCAGAATGAGCTTTATTGCCAGGTATGTTTACACACGAGCAATTTGTTTTAGTGACAGAAGCTCCACAGTGCAACAGAATGACAGTGACAAGGCAGGACACATAATAAAAAGAATAATACACAAATATACAAAATAGACAATGTACAAAAAAGCAAAAACACAATATATAGTATAGACAATTTTATATGTATGTTCACCAAATAGCAATCAAAAAACATTTAGTTTAGCCAAATCTGATGCAATTCAACATATATAATGGAAGTCTCAGACTTTAGCGAAATGAGAAAATAGTAACTAAAAGTATTTACTTTTCTGGTTACTTTTGTAAATGTATGTGAATTTATGGAACAGTGTCATTTGAATTAGGTGATACATGTTGCACAATGTTTCTGTTGTATTGTCATCCGTCACACACTAACTTAACTTCACTCAGCCTTATGTCATTTCACACCTGTATGATGTTCTTCTGCAGAACACAAAGGAAGTGCCAAAACTGGTTGCCAACATTCTTCAAAATAAATGATTTTGTGTTCCATCGAAGAAAGTCATACAGATTTGGAACGACATGAGGGTGAGTATATAATGATAGAATTTTCATTTTGGGGTGAACTATTACTTTAAGTTCATGCAATGTTAAAAGTATAGTAAACCGTATAGTAACCAGTCTAAGACCTACATCTTATGTCTTATGTCATTGAGCCTTTAAGAGCATGTTCACTATTCTCCAATTGGATTCCGATCCCTGCAATTGAGCAGGGTGATGCCCTCTCCACCCTCCTGGACACATCATCCCCATAATTAGTGGTGAGAGGTTGATGTTAAAATGATTCAGAGAAATGCCTTTGGTTATTTTTTGCTGATACTAGGAAATGTAGTTTTAGTATTTCTGTGGTAGTCGCCATGTGTTACCAATGCCCAGTAGGACAAGCATTTGCTGAGCTCTAATTAGATACAGAAATAAAGATGATATTTTAAGAGTATGGGAGGCAACTGATACAGGACACTGTCAAATGCACACAGTCACCTGCTATAACTGGCAAAATGCTCACACTGGAGATGCAGGTTCAAAGACTGCATTCATCTTTGAAGACTTGTGGATTTGGTGGAGAAGGGAAGATGGATATCAAAATGGGTGTTATGTTACGTCTACATACTTGGGGCTTCCTTTGCTCTAGCAAGAAATGGCCCTCTGGCTGCACAAGCCACACTGGGATTTGACTGGCATTATTACAAGTGCACTGGGCAGCATAATCTCCACAGGCTTTTTGTTTGACAAGAAGATCTCTGTTGGAAACCAGATGAGCAAAAATAGCCTGTTAATGATCTTTTTGTGGGCCATTGTCAAGTAGTGAATGAGAGGAGAAGTCGAGGGCTGATGTATGCAGACTTGTACCCAGTGACCTCCACTTACAAACAGTGAAACAAAAGCGACACTTCCTGAAACATGAAAACGCTGCATCCTTTGTGTCTGAATGGGCGGGAACTGCTTTACAGTCACTGCACATGAACTGACATCACAGTCCCATGCTTATGCAAAGCTGCGAAAGCTTGCATCAGATAACGGGCGACATTCTGCGAAAGTGAACATGAAGAATAGCATAATTTAGTTCCGCTATAATTACTCAAAAAATGTAAATCAAGGTTGGGACCTAATTTCCATTAAGCCAGTGGGAGAACGTAGTGAGATGCCATTTCAATTAGGCTATCTTTGCCAATCCATTATTTATTTGTATGGATGAAATTAATGGTATTGAGGCCTAAGACTACTGTTTTGGATGGGCATGTGTGTCCCATGGTATCCTAAGCCCCTCTGTGCCCCTCAACTCAGTTTGGACATCTGAAAAATGCCCCGGTGGTCCAACCCCATGTCTTAGTGGCAAGTGCTGTAAATAAATACGCTATACATTGTCTATAATGTGATTGTGTCCCACAGTCCAGGAAGAAAACAAACAAACAGTGGGGACACAATGGCCTTTGAAGAGCATGATGTGAACTGGAATGTGGTGACATGTTAGATAGCATTTTCACTGAGACGTTAACTCATTTAAGAAGCTTTACAGATGGTCTTGTGAATAAAATATCTTGGAAGTGGTGCCTCATTCTTGAGGAAGGAAACTCTGCATTTTGGGCATGAATATTTCAGGTTGTTTTTACACTTATTTGTAATATTTTTTAGAAAATGTTTGCTGCTTAACTTAAAACTCATTTGAGTTTTAGACAAAATTTTGCATTGAATTAATTATATAAGTATATTTTGAATAAATAGTTCAAATCATTTTGTTAATATCACTTTTGATTCACACATTACTAAAAAATAAATAATACAAAATAAAAATTACAACAATAATAAAATGATAATGCATTTTTTATACTTTATTATGTCTTTCAGTTCAAACAGATTTAATACAATTATGCAATTGAAAATTTCCCTTAGAGACAATATTTTTTTAGCAAAAGTTATTCCTAATTTTTCCTTCTACTTTCTCTTCCGTTCACTTTTTTCCCCTTTTTCCCCTTTTTCCCCTTTTTCCCTTTCCTTTTGTGATAATACCCACCACCAACACATAAAATAATAATAATAATAATTAGGACAATCACAATTACATATGAAAAATAGGGAAAAGAAAAAAAAATGCACAGACATTCAAATATTCATATCAAACTCTTATAATGACACCCAATTCCTAATAGTTAATTCAAATAATATTTTTTATACGTCAATTAATAATAATATTAAATAAAACAATAAATGAATAAATTAAAAGGGAGGCAGATAATGCCAAATTAATTA